TTCTATGGTTCTAGGATTCTAAGATTCTAGGATTCTATGATGATTCTATGGTTCTGTGATACTACAACAACAGTCTGAATGAAGATGTGACTAGTGTGAGGGGCTGAGGAAGGACTGGAGCATCTTGGGTACTGCAGGTCACTGTAGGCAGGCAGGCATTCTAAAAATCGGTGCATGAAGAGCTTGTGTAATGCTCACCTGGATCCATCTTGTGCTCACCAGAAGTCCCTCACTTTCTGAAGGACTGCAGTACTTGAAAGCATTTCAAAGAGGAAAGAGGTCAGTGCTTGTGTTACAGTAGCTTTAGTGGAAATGTGTTCCTTCAGTACTGAAATGTTTTTAAAATCCCTTTGGCTATTACACTAAAAATGGACTGTCACAGTATGGCAAATGGAAGGAATATTCTGGAATTTTGTTTATTTTCTTGCTGTTGATGGTGTTGCTTGTGGGTGCTTCCCTGCTCTCCCCTGCTGCTGACATGGTGTCTGATATTCAAAACATGACACAGAGCATTCAGAGAGAGAAAAGCCTTCAATTGAAACTGCACATTCTTTACACAAAGAGAAAGGCAAAACACTGAAATTCTTTAAAGAGAAGAGTGGAAAATACCAGAAAAGAAGGAAAACAGCAGCACTCTCTGTTGAAACCAGAAATTACTGGTATAATAGGCATTACCCTATAGTGCAAGAAAGCTTACTTCATTAGTCCTTATTAAAATCCACAACTCAGTTAAATTTATATATATATATATATATATATACACATACATGTATAAATTTATACATATATGTATATATATATGTAGCTTGAGAACTGTTATTCCAGATAGTTCAGACATGGACCCTCTTCTTTGAGGCAGTATCAATACTCTGTGGTAGTAAATTTTTCCAGTAGTTTGGTAGGTTAATCATTAAGAGCTAAATTTAGCTTTAGTGTATATACAGAGAAATCTGGGTAACCAGAGAAAAGCTTAACCAGAGAAATTTGCTGGATTCAGTCTGGTTCTGTGCAGAGTAGGCTCCATCACATTCAGAACTTCCTGCTTGTGCTCTTTCTGCCCAACACTTCTGCTTACAGGATTTTCCTCTAGGGGGTGTGGGATCACATAACCAGTGGTACTTCCTGTGTAGGTTTGACTGGTGTGTGACAGGGAGAGGCATTACTGGTGGAGCTCCATAGTGACATGCCACAAGACAGTAAGGGTTTGGTTCGCAGTCACTGTTGCTGCTATGGCTAAAATTTATGATCTGTAGCTGAACTCAGATGTTGCTTGGTACCTTCATTTAGCAGTATTTCTGACTTCAGTGTCTTCTTCACATTTCCATATGTAACCCTTCAAGGATGTACTGAGGAGGATGTGATTATCAATTTATGTAGGATGAAATAAAGGAGTGAGTTATAAAGCATGGGAAAAATATGGACAGAAACTTGCAAGACAACTACAAGGATGTTTACCAGGTCCCAGAGCTAGCTGGAATTTATCCATGCCCATGAAATACTTGCAAGCATGAGACATCATTTTTCACGGGGTGTTCTGGAATATAATCCATCATCATTCAAAACAAACCAACCATTCTCTGAAAGATATTTAGGTCATACGATGTCACCACACTTGACCATAAAATCTATCATGTTGGGGAAACCAATGGCCAGTGCCTGGTATTGTAAAACACTGGGGCAGAAGCTGTATTTATCTTTTCTAGAATTGACAGATCATCCCTGTACCTTCAGATTAGCCCACACTGACATACCAGTTCTGTATGTTACCACCCAACAGGGTGATCTCCTTTGGAACAAGCCAGTTGCTACTTTAGCTTGAGGATTTCTGGGTTTGTTGACGGATTGGGAACACTGTGAACATACATAAGAAGAAAGACACCTTTTGAAATGCTAAACAGCTTTTTTCTTTATTCATAGCAATTTTCTTTGGTGTTGGATTGTTCACTCCTCCCATCCTTCATATTTATTTCTTTTGTTGAACCTGCAAGGGTATTTTGAACTGCACGTGTTCATCCAGACATCCTTGCTTCTACTTATGCAGCACAACAATACAGCATTTTACATCAGATCTTCAAGATGTACACTTTACATAACACCTTCAAGATCCCTAGAACACTAAATACCAGATTCAGTGTCTGTACCTCACTGACTCATCAGAGAGTCTTTTGGGCTCACCAAACTTCAAATGAAAGCCATTGCTTGTATGCAGAGGATGCAATCCATCAGCACCATGGTAGCTTCGCATCTGTTGAAATGCATGTCAGACCAGAGCTGATTTAATGTAGCAGTCTGATAAGGACACCTTTCTTTGCTACAGAAAAGAAATAAATAAATAAATGCTGCTTTTATATGCTGAGAATTGGCTCTCACTTATGGGTATTTCTGTGTGTCTGACATTTTATCAGGCAAAAGATGGAACTTCCTTTCTCTTTGTCTGGTTTTGTGTTTCTCATACTATTACATAATTACAAAAGAATGCCCAACAGTGGCCAACAGTGAATACTGAAGCACTGTTTGAGCAGGTCAAACTTATAATGATACTTCCTCAGATGATACTCCCAAGTATTCCTGGGCTTGAAGTCTTTATATTTCATAGCCTCTGACAGCATTTTCTTCCATTAATCCTTCCAATTGCTTTTTAAATCTAGGCAAACTTTTATAAGTTATAGAACCACAGAATGTTTAATTAGTAAACTACTTTCTGCATATTTAAGTGGAATACCACTGCTAGAATGACATCTGAGGAGATTTAAGGGGAGAGAACATTTATACTGAATTACATAGCTGCTAATACACATACAGATTATTGCAAAAATATACATAAATTCTATAAAACATTCTTGTAAGAGTACCTGGGCCTGGATTGGTAATCAGCCAGAAGTTCTGAAGGTGTTCAGGGATGAACAGATGAATGTAAATAGTACAAGTAATCTCTCCCAGTTCGGCAGTTCATGTGACCAAGCCCACACAGATGTCCCTGCTGTTTTCTCTGGTCCCCTGGGGTCCATTTTTGGGTCCCTCTTTTAGCAAAGTCCCAATGGGCTGAGCAGAGCCCACACAGAGAATAACATTTGGGGCTTTGTGCCCTGTCCCACAGTACTGCTGGGAGTTCGAGAGTAGCTTGCTGGGGGAGAGAACCAGAGGACTAAAACTGAGAAAAATTGTGGCTTGAGAGAAAAGTCAGGGATGTCTAGAAAGAGGTGTGCACGTGTCAATGGCCTATTACTCTGATCCTAAACCCTCCCACATATTGTGCCACCCAGAGCTGGTGGGCATGGACATGGACACACTGACCTGTGGGCCACCCAAACCCCTGGGACACGGGCAGACACTGAGCGATCTACTGTTCGTGCGCAATGTACCAGAGACATACACATTCATCATGCAAGCTTGCTATGCTTTATTGTTGCAGCCAGGCCTGTGTGGTGGCTGGTCTTAGCAGGGGTTCTGACTAAAACTCCAAATTGTCTGTGGGCTCATTGATCTCCCCCACATCATCCATCTCATTGTCCGGCTCCTCTTCTTCAAGACGTCTGCGTCTCTTGGGGGCCCGGCGCTTGATGAATGGGGGGCCCTGTGTTGGCAGTTGGCCCCTCGACCGCGTGCTGCGGCGGCGAGAGCGGCTTTGGCTAGCACGCCGTGTCTTCCGCAGGGGCTGCCTGCTCCGGCTCCCGCTCCCACGCCCTCTGGCACGCCGATTGTAACCAGCCATGGTGGTGCTCGCTGAGTGCTGTGAGCAGCTGGCCTGCTTTTATAGGGCTGCCAGGCCGGAGCCCTTTGTGATGCAAGCGCTTTACGGAGCCAACATCACCAGTGGCGTCACAATGGCTGCATGGTGACGACACTGCCAGCTTTGCTTGCATGTGTTGCTTTTGATTTCCTTAAAAAATTGGCTTTTATCTTGAGCCACAAGTTTTCCTGTCTTTACTCCTCCAATTCTCTCCCCCAGCAAGCTGGTGGGGAGAGTGAGCCCCTGTGTTCTGCTTTGTTTCTGGCTGGGGTTAAAGCACAACTCAGTTCCACCATGGATGTCCAAGGGCTGCAGAGGTACATCTGCTCGCCAGTGACACAAAATGGGGTGCCCAGTAAGTGCCAGCAAATCATGGTGTTCCCCAGTGTCTGCAGAGGAACTCCTGCTGCCTTGTCTGGAGCCCCTCCTCTCTTCTTTCTCCCCTGCCCTGGCCTCTGCAGGACTGTTTCTTGCATGTACTCTTAACAATGTTATCCCTGAGGCACTATCACCTTTGTGAGTGGGCTCAGCCTTGGCCAGTGGTGAGTCCTTGGACCTGGCTGGCAGTACACTGGCTGACAGGGGAAACTGGTGGCATCTTGTCCCAAATGCTCTCCACACTCTCTCCTTGCTATGAAGCCTTCACCAACCCAAGCCCAGTAACAGAGAACCAGGAGGAAGCGGGGGGAAGCACAGCAACACTGAGAAGCATGTTGCAGGGTCAGGGGGTCTCTCTACAGGGAGATCTGTGAAGGGCAATGTGACAGCCTTGTCACGGGTGGGGGCATGGCCAGAGTGAGAGTCAGGAGTTGGATGGGCAGAGCAACTTGCACTGCTTTGTCTGGCCTTTACCCTCAAAACCCCAGCAGTGCCACAGGAGAGGGCATGAGGCACTGAGGGTTCTCTCTGTGGGCTCTGCTCAGCCCCTTGGGACCCTGAAATAAGAGTGAGACAGAAAGGGAGCCCAGGGGGCCAGTGGCAGGAGCAGAGGTTATCCATGTGTCCTTGGTCACCTGCACTCGCCATAGGCCCTGGGCTGCAAACACAGTCACACCTCATCCCAAAGTCAACCCTGGACACGCACATGCCATGCATCACCATCCTCAGACATACAGATGGCACACGGGAAAATCAAGCCTGGAGACACACATCCTGCTGTTGGGCATGGACATGGACACACTGACCTGTGGGCCACCCACACGTCTGGGACACGGGCGGATACCGAGCGATCTACTGTTTGTGCACAATGTACCAGAGACGCACGCACTCATCATGCGAGCTTGCTAGGCTTTATTGTTGCAGCCAGGCCTGTGTGGTGGCTGGTCTTTACAAGGGCTCTGGCTCTAAAACTCAACGTCATCTATCGGCTCATCGAACACTCCCAGGTCATCCAGCTCATTGTCCGGCTCCTCTTCTTCGAGACGTCTGCGTCTCACGAGGGGCCGGCGCTTGATGACTGGGGCGCCATGTGATGCCCGTCGTCCCCTCGACCGCGTGCGGCGGCGGCGAGAGCGGCTGTGGCCAGTGCGCCGTGTCCTCCGCAGGCGCCTCCGGCTGCGGCTCCTGCTCCTGCGCCCTCTGGCACGCCGATTGTAACCAGCCATGGTGGTGCTCGCTGAGTGCTGTCAGCAGCTGGCCTGCTTTTATAGGGCTGCCAGGCCGGAGCCCTTTGTGATGCAAGCGCTTTAGGAAGCCAACATCACCAGTGGTGTCACAATGGCTGCATGGTGACGACACTGCCAGCTTTGCTTGCATGTGTTGCTTTTGATTTCCTTAAAAAATTGGCTTTTATCTTGAGCCATAAGTTTTCCTGTCTTTACTCCTCCAATTCTCTCCCCCAGCAAGCTGGTGGGGAGAGTGAGCCCCTGTGTTCTGCTTTGTTTCTGGCTGGGGTTAAAGCACAACTCAGTTCCACCATGGATGTCCAAGGGCTGCAGAGGTACATCTGCTCGCCAGTGACACAAGATGGGGTGCCCAGTAAGTGCCAGCAAATCATGGTGTTCCCCAGTGTCTGCAGAGGAACTCCTGCTGCCTTGTCTGGAGCCCCTCCTCTCTTCTTTGGTGTTCCCCAGTGTCTGCAGAGGAACTCCTGCTGCCTTGTCTGGAGCCCCTCCTCTCTTCTTTCTCCCCTGCCCTGGCCTCTGCAGGACTGTTTCTTGCATGTACTCTTAACAATGTTATCCAGTCCTGCACTGGCCATTATCACTACATCCATGTACCAGCAGTTTAATCTTCTGCCCAATTTTATATTTTTATGTCATTTTATTCAAACAAGAAGCTCGTACTGTTTTGGTAGGAGATGCTTAAAAAACTCTAATAGTCCTTTAATGATGCTCAATAAGTAAATATAGGTTGGTCATTTGAGCTGAAAACTGAGAATGTCTTTCATAGAATCATAAGATCATTAAGATTGGAAAAGACCTCTATGATCAGTGAATCCAGCTGTTAGCTCAGCACCACTATGTTGATCACTAACTCGTCCCCAAGTGCCATATACACACGCCTTTTTAACACTTCCAAGGATGGTGAATCCACTCCTTCCCTGGGCAGCCTATTTCAATACCTGATCAGCCTTTCAGTGAAGAAATTTTTCCTACTATCCGGTCTAAACCTCACCTGGCACAACTTGAGACCATTTCCTCCTGTCTGAACAGTTGTTACCTGGGAGAAGCGGCTGACCCCCACCTGGCTTACAGCCTCCTTTCAGTCAGTTGTAGAGAGTGATAGGGTTACCCCTGAGCCTCCTTTTCTCCAGGCCCAACAACCCCAGCTCCCTCAGCTGCTCATCATTAGACTTGTGCTCCAGAGCCTTCACCAGCTTTGTTGCTGTGTTTTGGACACTGAAGAACCTCCATGTCCTTGTTGTATGTAGTCCCAGTCTCATCAGTGTCTAGTACTTTCTAGAGGTTTGAGTTAAGACTTAAACTGCAGCCCATAAAGAAAAAAAAAATAAACTTGATCAGTGAAAATAATTAAGTAAAAGACGCTTAAAAATTTTCCCTAATTTTTTTTATTCTACTGTGTGCTTAGTCCATGCCCTCATCCATCCTTTTGGTCTGTAGTTAATATCCTGAAGGATGTGAGAAATTCTTTATCTAAACTTTAAACTTTGTAATCTTAAAGAAAGGGCTTCACAATGATGTTTCTAGTATTAATTTAATCTATTATACTTGTAACTTATATCCAGTATGACTCAAATGGGTGATGTTACAGGCTTATGAAATATTACTTAGTTTATAAAGTATGTCAGATATCAACAAAATTGTTTTGTAAGAAGCTTAGTCTTAGCTTCTGTATAGAAACATAAAAGAGTGAACAGAGAATGGAGGTATTCTACAGACAATGTATAAGAAGAGCCCTGCTAGCTCAGATCAAAGGATTATTTGTGTCAGCAGTCTGATTTAACACAATTCATCAACACTGGTTTAGAAGGAAAGCATAAAGACAAACAAAATAAACTTCCCCAAAATTCTGTCCCAGGTACTGAACCTTTCATTAGATTCATCTTCTATAAATCTGTCATATATTTTTCTGAAGCTACAGACTTTATTTTTATATTTTAGTTTGGTTTTTTTTGTGGGCTTATAGAGGAGCATTGAGGATTTAGCATTTAGGTATCAGGCAAACAAAATGGTGGATGGAGAAGAGAGTGAAAATTGAGACCTCAGTCAAATGAGAAACTGAATTCTTCATACTGAATTTTGGAGTTTGATGTAGGATACAGTGCAGGAGAGAGCACAGCCTGGATTCAGAAGCAGTGGCCCAGTGGGACTTCTGAGGGGCTGAGGTGGGCTATCCAGTAGGAAGTGAGCAGGGTGGTTTCAAAGTTTGAAATTACAGGAAAATCCTGAAGTATCTCTGTTCTGTATCCTCACCTGTACTGTATTCTGTTAACAGTCTGGCCGATGACAATTTAAAGCAAGAATCCTCCAAATTTTTTTTCCAAGCAGCTTCTTTATGATCTTAAATGCCTCAAAAATCTGTTTGCAAAATCTAGTACTTTTGTCTCGGCTGAGCCAGTGCTTTAAAGTTGGCCAGGTATGGAACATGCTTTTCTAAACTCATCATTAACTGCTGTTGGCAATCAATAAATTCTGGTTGCCATCTCTTTCAGCTGGAAACTGTGCTTTCTGGATCTTGGTGATTTTTGTTGGGTTCTTATGGTCCTCCCTTAAAAATCATGCAACAAACCCCACCAGAAAAACTCACTCTCAAAAATGGATCATACTGTGGTGGAGTAGAGCAGAGTTCAAAAATAAATACTCTATTTTTGTATAAATATCCCAGATTTAAAAAAGGGAAGGAAAAAATCCAAACAGAAAAAGAAATGTAAAAATGATAGGTTATGTAAAACATTCTTTTTTCTAGGCAAAATGTATTTTATGAGACCTTGAGGCACTTCCAGCTCGTCAAATTGTTATTAGCCAGGAGAGCCCATTTATTTTCATATTCCAAAGGAAGGACCTATGCATTATATTTTTACTTTTAAATAAAGCAACCTAGAGAGGTGAAAATTTGCTGCCTTCCTTTTAGAGACCAGTGCTTTTTTTCTGTTTAGGCCACACTAGAGATTGAGTGTTAAAAGAAAAGGTGTTTTTAATAGCACTGAATTTTACTATTTTAATTAATTCTCCTGTATGTTGCTTTCCTGACATGTTTGCTTTACTAATGCTTTAGCTCATGGCCATAACTTATTTTGAATGGCAAAGTACATAATTAACATCAAGGTGAAAGACGATTATGTTTGTGAATACTGCTCTATGCCCTCCAGAAAGCACTTACATAGCAAATTTAGGTCACACATGGTTCAGTCTCTCAGAAATCTTACTTAATAAAGCCCCAAGGTACTCTCTTTTATTGAACAATTAAGAGAAAGCGAGTTCTTTGTGTTAATGTGGGGAAAAGATAATTTTTGGAAAAGGGGGAAGAACCATGTGAGGGTACACAAATGTTTCTACACACAGTTCTATGGAAAGCTGAAAATGCAATTTAAATGGGCACTTAAGGTGGAGAATAATATAAGCTAAAATGCAGCAATGAAAATTATTATATATAAAGTGCAGTGGCTTATGTTTGAGATGTTCCATCACTTTCTATCCATTTTTTCCTGACCATTTGGGCTGTTTCCTAAGAACCCTCCTTATGAATACATGCTGAAGAGGAATGATTCTCAACATTTGGCATATCTATTGCAACATGAAACCCCTTGGAAATCTTTGCGTATTGCAGGCATGTAGTGACAATTTGAAAATAAGTGGTAAGCATTAGACTCTGATTTGCAGTCCTTATTTTGAAAAATCCAGTCCTAGAAAAACAGGGTCTTATTCATGCTAGTAATATGATAGTCACTTACTACAATTAGATTCTTGGCAATGTAGACAGAAACAAGCTATGTATGAAAACCTTGTACAATAACAATGTGAATGTGTTATTGTGTGGTACTGGAAGAGTTGCTATCAACTTGATTTAGTTGGATTTCAGCTTGGATTTCTAAAGCTGGCTAGACTATGGACTTTTATGTGAAGCATCTTTATGGCGCTTCTGCCAATACCTGACTTCGTATCATTAGACGCTGATTTCTCTGGACCAAGAGAATTCCCTCTAGTATCCTTGTTAGTCAGAAAATCAATCATATTAGTCTCATAATCAGACATAATTGAGTTATTACTCCATTTTTTAAACTTGCACAATGCAGAAAAGTGCTATTACCAAATCAAGATGCAGGGATGGTTGAAATTTAATAGTTTTTCTTGTAGTCAGCACTTAGGAAAAGAGAAACAAGGAGCTGCTATAGTTGTGTGACCAGTTGTATTTCCACTGTTAATTCTGACATCTGTTCCTGTGATAGATTGATTTGCATATATATATGAACTTTGTAGACATCCACACAAGATGACCAAACTTTTCATCTGACTGGTGGTTTAAAGGTCTACAGTTTTTACTTGCTTTACTGAGTTTAGTTCAGTGAACCTGATGGATGGCACTTCTCCAGTCTGGATATAAGGCAGAGCCATTGCAAGGCTGCTTAATATCAGAAGGGAATGCACTTCACTGTGCAATAGGGATGTGGCTATAAGCTATGTTTTCTTTATTAAAAATAAATGAATCCATTGCCCTTGTAAAACAAAGGACAGAGATAAATGCCCTTCTACTAAAAGCACAGGACCAGGGTTGGTTAGCGTGAGTGGTTCCCATTTGGTTTGTCATTGACAGGTTCTATCTCCCCAGCTCTCCTCTGAACACAGAGCAGCAATGGAGGTCGGTTGGGGCTCAGCAAGAGCTGAGCATTAAACTTGGAAGTCCTTTCACTCTCCAGCTGACTCTCTGTTGATTGTTCTCTTCTGAAAAGAGAAGGGGGATAGCACTGGTCTTCCTCCCAGTGGTGGGAGGTACTATATATATAATGGACTACTGTGACTACTTGTAGGGGCAGGCAGGTATTACAGCTTTAGGCTGTCTTTTTCCATGCAGGAGCTGCTCTGAAATTCAGATGATCAGACTGTCTCACAGCCTGTAGTATAAGAAAGGCAGAAAAATAAGGACTTATTCATTGGATGCCAAATGGGTAGTTTTTGGTGCTGCTTTCAATGACATAGTATTGCCTGTGAGGCTTTCTTCTGCTAGAGGC